CCCCCCCCCCCCCACACACACACACACACACACACACACACACACACATGTTGCAGGAGGTTGATTGTCTCCTGGCTGGTTACTGTGGATCAACAATTTAGTTTGACAATGATGTGATTGGCACAGAGAGGGGTGGTNTTGACTTGAATATTTTTTCTAACTTCGCCCTCGGGCCACAGATATTATTTCATTTCAAAGTGTCTCATGTTTTTAATCTCGTCTGTCGTCACTGGATTTGATTTTCTGTCTGACTGCATCTGGTCCAGACTCAGAGCCGGTCGAGAGACCATCACTGCCTCTCTCTCTCTCTCTCTCTCCCTCTCTCTCTCTGTGTTTCAGGTAATTGTCAGCTTACTACCCAGCTCAGCTCAGCAGCCATTCATCATCCGGCCAATCACACACGCCTCGCCCGATGACATCACAAGTGGGTCGCCCTGCCGGATGATTGCGGTCGCCATGCCAACAGGCTGATGTTACAATTACATGTGAGAGTGCATGTTCGTGTGTGTGTGTGTGCATGTGTGTGTGTGTGTGTGTTTTAGTCCCTAATAAATGACCTAAATGAGATCAATGTAGTGTGTGTGCGTGTGTGTGCATGTGTGCGTGTGTGTGTGTGTGTGTGTGTGTGTGAGTGTGTGTGTGTGTGTGTGTGTGTGTGTGTGTGTGTGAGGCGGCGGCCGGCTGCTCACAGGAGGAAGCGTCACACACTGATCAGTCTGAAAACACTGCAGGTTCCTACAAATCTGTCTCATTTAAATTCTCCTCTCAGGTGACGCTGCTGTTCCAGGGTTTTGATATTCAAAGCAGGAACGCCCGACGCGTCCGGAGGCGTTTCCAACACCTCTGCTGGTGAAACGGCTGAAATCAATTCAGTGAAGGAAGGCCGCAACGCGCAGAGACGATCATCGTGATAATCAAACAATCATTTTATTCATTTTTATGTCAGTACCTTCTCAAACATGAGGATTTTCCTCATCACACATGACAGTAAACTGAACGTTTTAACTGACATTTTCCACTATTTACTTTCATTTTATAGATAAAATGATTAATTGATAAAAGAACTGGCAGACTGATCAATAATGAAAATAATCATCAGCTGCAGTCCAAGTTTCAGGGCCTAGAACATTTTCATTATTGATTATCTGCAGATGGTGGAAGATCCTTGACTCTTCAGTAACAATCCAACACTGTAGAAATACTTCACTACAACTGAAATCCTGCATTGGAAACCTTATGTAAATGAAAGCACAGACGCATTATCAGTAAGTGTTTGCCTGGTTTATATTATGTATAGCTCATGTGAACTAGTTTATACTGTTAGTACTTAGTATACTGTAGTTTAGCCTAAGGCATCATATGTTTGTAGTGTCGCTGTACCGCTAAAAAGTACTTTCCATGAACAGCTTTGTGACGAGGCGTTTTCCAGACAGTCTAATGTTTTATCTTAGAGTTTTGGCGGTTTATGGGACGGGTATGAAAAACTGTGATCTGAAAAGTGGTCGGACAGAGATAGAGCTGCAAAAACTTCAATATCTCCCTGGAAGAAGTATAAAATAAACAAAGTATAAAAGAGGAATAAAATGGAAATACTCCAGTAACTGGTACTTAAATTCAGCACTAGAGTTAATTTGCATGAAAAACAATGTGATTACATTTCACCACAGTGAGAAAATCCTCTGGGTCCAGTGTCACCCAACGATATTCAGTTAACTTTCATTAATCACATAATGATCCATCGATTATCGAAATAGTGGGTTGATGAATTGTTTCAAAACTTTTCCAGGTCAAACTTTGTTGTCCCTCAGAACAAAGGGACAGTACAGGACGCTGATGTGTAAACACACACAAACAATTAACTGTGGGTGTAAGAGCATCAATCATGTCCTGACAGGTGGACAAAACAAACACTCTCCTCTCTGATTGGATCACTCAAGGACAAAAGGTTCTTTGATTGGTCGGTAATGAAGAAGCGAACGTTATCCTGCAGGAAGTTTAGAAGCATCGGAGCGAGGACGTATAAAGAGACCTGGATACAGCGCCCTCACTCGGCCGCGCTGCCGGTTTCCACCAGCGGTCACAAAAAGCATTTTCTCCATTGATCTCCATTATAACACCAACGTTAAGGTGGAGGTTTACTCCTTCTGTTATAAGTTTTGGATCCATGGAGGTTGTAGATTTGTAAAACCCTCTCAAAACCTCAAAAAGTGAGTTTCTTTTTCGCAACGTCGTCCAGGTGTAAATATCGATGGGCCGGCAGTGGGCCGCACAACACAGCAGGAGGTTAGGAAAGGGACTGGATTCTAGAGCTTTCCTAAAAGTCAAGAAAACCCTGTGTCACAAAGAGACAAAGAGACATGAACAGATGCAAAACAATCCCAAAAGACCCAGAAGCACTGTGTCTGGGGGGGGGGCTCATAATCTAAAGCATCTTTTGGCTTTAAGTCGTTTGAAACCATAACGATATATTTCTAGATAATCATGTATGAAAAAGAGAAAGTGAATTACTGCAGCTCTAAACAAGCGAACACAGACTCATAATTTACCACTTACATCCGTGTTCAGTGAAAATAAACAGAGCAACACGAGTAAAAATACGAAGACATTAACGAGCGTGCAGACCGTCTGCTGACATTATCAGACACTGTGTTTCTGTCAAACAGCCTCATTATGAATTTAAATAGATAATCAGCATCTTTGTGTGTGTGTGTGTTTTGTCTTCAGTGACCTGCTGTTGCCTTCATGTCTGACTCCGACTCTGCACACAGCTAAACAGATTAACACGAGGCCACGTCAACCCCCCCTCCCCTCTCTCTCTCTCTGTCTGTCTCTCTCTCTGTCTGTCTCTCTCTCTCTCTCTGTCTGTCTCTCTCTCTCTCTCTCTCTCTGTCTCTCTCTGTCTCTCTCTGTCTCTCTCTCTCTCTCTCTCTCTCTCTCTCTCTCTGTGTCTCTGTCTCTCTCTCCCTCTCTCTCTCTGGAGGCTGGATGAACTGGACAGTGATGAATCAGCAGGTCAGGCTGAGGTTATTTAAGCAGGTGTGTGTGTGTTTGTTCTTCTACCTGAGACGAGGTTTGAGCTT